CAGTCTTTTACCCATTAAAGACAGTGGTCGCTCTGGGTCATATCATTCGGTACATGAATGATTTAGGCCTTTTGCTTCTCGTCTTTCCAGTTACCAGACAGCTCTCAAGCCCTTCCACTAGGGAGAAAAGCCTCCCATTGGTCCGATTCACCAGAGGAGTTGACCCATTAGACTAAAATAAGGAAAGCACGTGGCCCGGAGGAAGGAGGACTGGTCCTGTGCCCGAGACAAACCTGGTAGGGAACGTCAACTCGGTCTGGGGCTCCATAAAAGCCTCTTAACTTTCCTGGGCCTCGACATCCCCCTCTGTCCATCGTTTGTACCCCCGGGGGCGGGGCGGTTACCAAGATCAGACGATGTGACGTACAGAAAGTGCCCAGTAAGCCTGCTGACGATGTAGCAATGTCGGTGGTAGTGCTGCTACCTTTGCTAGATGTTAGCACAGAGTGAATGGGGCTGATCCTGGCAGGGCAGCGGGAGAAGTCTGCCTCCAGTACCGGTTCACTGCAAGTAGGCTCGCACAGGAAAGCTCTAAAAATCCTGACAAGAAAAATAAAGACTACAACTGAGGATGCATCTCATGACCTGGGTTTGAGGATTACCTATGGGTCTGGAGCGCACATACCATATAAAAGCTCCCATAAAAACAAAGAATTGAAATTGAACTACAGTTCAAGACCTGAGCAGAGGCCCCTAAATGCAGGACCCTTCCTCCACGGGTCTCTTGAATAACATTTGGGGAGATAAAGATGGGTTTGGAGTTGAAACTTTCACAATGGAAGGAAAAAAAGAGAAAAAAGTCAGTTTCACCAGCCCCCTAAGACTCCCCCAGCATATTCATTCCATCTTTCCTGAACGCAAATTCCAGACAAGCAAATTTCATCTCTGGATTGCACCTTTCCTAAAATACAGAATTAGACATGAGAGATGCCTGCCAAGAGCTGTCTGAATCCATAGTGTCAGCTTTAAGGAGTGCAGCTGCACAGCTAAGTAATAAGGCTGGCCCCGATGACTTTGGGATTGTAAATGCCCCTGGGGCAGACTTTTGTCTTTTTATTTTTTTATTTTTTTGGCACATTTCACTCATCATACAGCACCGTGTACATTCACAGCACTACCTACATACTGAGAAATAAAGCCACGTCTCTGGGCCTGGAGCCAGCCAGGGCCAGTCCGAAGGCACAAGGCCAGAAGTTAACTTTTACCATGTGTGCAGGGGACTAACTGCCCTCAGATGCACTGCGGGGATCCTCTCACTGCTGGGACAAAACCGATCACGAACAACGAGGCCGAGTTCCTCATGCCCAAGGTGGAGCGGGAGCCACGACGTCAGCCCTTTGACAAATGCTGCCCGGCATCTTCACATCTCGAAAACAGTATTTTCACGTCATCTGGGCAACAAATTCAGTCAGTTCTCGTGCTATTGGAGGAAAAGGTGAGGCTGAGCTGACAGAATGGAGGATCCCACAATCATTTAGAATTACTGGCAGAGGATTTTCTTATCACTTATCTAACAATGATTTTTTTTATCTTGTTTTATGGTTCAGTCCTTTTCAATCCTGACTGTTCCTGACCCCATTTGGGGTTTTCTTCACAAAGATACTGTAGTGGTTTGCCACGTCCTTCTCCAGTGACTTCTTAGGTGACTCGCCCAGGGTCACACAGCTAGTAAGTGTCTGAAGCCAGATTTGAACTCAGGTCTTCCTGACTCCAGGCCCCACCCTGTATCCACTGTACCACCTCACTGGCCTGACTTTTATTAACCCAATACTGAATTGAAGAGATAGTGGGATATAGTGGAGAGAGAGTTGGATTTGGAGACAGGAAGACTTGGGTTCAAATCTCACCCCTGCCAGAGAGTAGCTGTGTGATCTGGTATGTAAGTCACCACATCTATGAGCCTAAGACCATACAGTAGATGGAGAGATGAAAGAGGCCTCTAGAGGCCATTGAGTTCAACCCTCTCAGTCTACAAATGAAGTTACTGGGGTTCAAGAGAGGCTAAGTTACTTGGCCAGGGTCAACACCTAGGGAGCAAATGTCAAAGGTGGGATTTGAACCCAGGGACTCTGGCCTTTGAGTCTGTGTTCTTTGCACTGCCCCATGCTTATCCATTTACAGATTATCTACTGAGTCACAGGTGGACTATAGTCTGCTCTGATGAAGGGCACTCCCATACCAACAGTTCCTTATGTGGATAAAACCATAGTATCCTTTTCAAATATAGTTATCACATGCCCCAAGCAAAGAAAGGTAGAGAGGAAGGAGTGGAGTCAATACTTGGAGTCGATAAGACCTAAGTTCAAATCTAGCCTCAGATACTTAGTAACTATGTGACCCTGAGCAAGTCATTAATCACCTCTCAGCCTCAGTTTCCTCATCTATAAAAAGGGGATAATAATAGAACCTACTGCCCAGGATTGTTTTGAGGCTAAAATGAGATATTTGTAAAGTGCTTTTGGAAAATTTAAATTAAAAACAAGTTATTATGGTTGTGATGCTGTTTTTCTAATTACTGTTATTACCCCTACCTAGGTGGTGTAATAAAAAGGAGGTGGGGAGGGGGCCTTCTAGGTCCTCCAGTGCAGTCTTTTGACTGAGTCCAAGTTTTACAGAACAAATCCTATTATTAAGGGGATTCGTTCTGTGAAGTTTGGATTCAGTCAAAGGGCCGTACTTGAGGACCTAGAGGGCCACATGTGACCTGGAGGCTGCAGGTCGGCCACCCCTGATAGATAGGAAGATCTCAATTCCAGGCCCAGCAGTGTAATTCACTAAAGTAACTTCCCTGTGCCTCAGTTTTCCCTTTGGTAAAATGAGGTGGTTAGAAAAAAATACTCTCAAGCTCTTTGTAGCTTACAACTATGGTTTAACAAGGCAGAGAAGCATTATCTCTACAGTCTGATCATTTGGTTTCAGGTTCTGGCTGGCTCTGTAGGAAAAGTCTCTGTTTCCTTTTTGAATGAGGATAACAATACCTGTACTTGTAGTGTTGTGGTTAGGAAGACCCTAGGAAGCCTGAAAGCTCTCTAGAATCAGGAGTGCTGATGGTGATTCAGATTCAGGAAATGGCAAAAGGCAAGACAGTTGAGAAGTCCCTTAAGGGACTGGCATGAGATTGAAATGTACTGCAGACGATCCATAAAGCATATGATTCACAAGTATACAATCGAGAATCAACCACTTCTATGTTGTTTGTGGTAGGGGGAGGGGGTTGTTTTTATTTAATATTCATCACTTCCTTCACAATGAACCCTCTCTGGCCACAATGGAAAAAGTTAAGTAAAACTGACGAAGGAAGGAGCCACATAAGACAGCAATGCAACATAGCACATCCATAGGCCACCACTTCTCTACCAAGTGCAGGCTTTTACGTACTCCTACATTCACCAAACCTCCTCATGGCATTTAAAAGCACCATTTCCTAGGTCTTTATCACCACTAAAGGGTATCAGGCATAAGTTGCTACAAGATTCCATTCCATCCAGGGGCTGGTACCAACACTCAGTCAACAGATCCGATTTAATCTAATTCAACAAACTTTTGCTGTCAATACAGTCATAATAAATGAATGCTAACTTCTAGCTAGTGGACATCACAGACATCAGGCAACCATTACAAACCTCATACCAGGTGCTCAAAAAAAAATCTTTAAGCTCTCAAAGCTTAAAATTGAACTAAGACTTTTGGCGACACCCTGTATAATCAGATTTCTAAGATAAAGGCAGAACCAGAAATAATTAAGAAATCATTGGGAAAATTATACTCATGGGGTCCTCAATGGTGGGGGATTAAGGAAAAGCAATAAATCCAAGACCTTGGGAGGAAAAGGGGAGACAGAACTATTCTTAAAAAGCTATGCTTCATTTGGAAATTCATTGCTAACTTTTTTTTTCACTCCAAATTTCATGTAAGGCAATAAGATTAAAGAAAAACATGAATCGAAATTCCTTTTCACAGAATGAGCTAGAACTGAAGCTTTCACTTGAAAAAGAGTTCCCACCCCCTCATCCCCTCCACCTCCCCAAAAAAGGCTCTTGGCAATCTACACCAAAGATAAATATTGCAAAATAAATGAAGGAAAGAGAAAAACAGCAGAGATTTCCACTCCACCGTGGGATACTTCATAGGGTCAGGGATTAGAGGATGGAAGGGATCTCCAAGGCCATCTGATCTAATGAACACATTCTAAAATTGAAGAAAATGGAGCACAAGATTATGTAACTTGTCCAATATCATAGAGAAAATAAGGGTCAGAGACTGGATTTGCACCCAGGTCTCCTGATTCCAAATCAAGCCCTCTTTGCACTGTCCCACAGTCTCCTGTGTAGACACTGGATGAAAATACATCCTTTCCCTACCCTAACCCCAAACACCATCCATCACAGACTATGAGGAGATTACAAGGCAGAAAAACAGATGACCAGGAGGAAAATGCCAGACGTTTCCAATCCCCCTTTGAATGATGATGGGTAAGAAACACACCCAGAAAGGAAAATCAGAGTAAATTAGTTCCTTAGGCCTATATCCCCCTGGGGAAGAGAAAGCTTTCTTAAGTCTCCATGATTCTTAAATCACACTTTTGCATTCTGTGATTCTTAAGCAAGAAACATATGGAGGACACAGCAGAAGGTCATACATTTAAATGAGCTATATCAATTTGCAGACAATACCTAAAAATTCTCATCTCTGGGTGGGCAGATTTGAAACTCTAAGCTACCACAGTCACTTGCCATCCAGAGATTCCATTAAAATGGTAGTCTATAAAAATGTAATTGTTGCATGTGACGAAAATTAGGGGAGAAGTGTAGCATACTCTCTCAAATTACTGTAATCCCAAATAAACAAAGGTCTTCCAGTATCTGAACTTGCTTCCTGGTAAAAAGGTAGAAACAAGTGTTATGTAGTTAAAGGAAGGTGATAGCCTAACTACAAAATTAGTCATTTCTACGTCTCTGCAGATCAAAATCAGCAATCTTCCCCTGAATAGAAAGACATACCTTTCTTAGATTTCGCTCCAATTTTTAGCTTTGACGGCCAAGCAATCTGTGTGTTTGTCTCTTCCATGATCTGTGAAAAGAAAATAAATCTCAACTGAATTAAATGCTAAAAAAGGAATAATAATAATAAGATAGCATATCTATAGAGCTTTAAGGTTTTCAAAGTCTTTTACAAACAGTATATCATTTTATTCTCATAGAAATCCTAGAAAGTAGCAAGCGCTATTATTATCACCATTTCACAGATGAGGAAATTGAGAAAGAAGGTAAGTGACTTGCCTAGGATCATGTAGCTAGTGTCTGAGACCATTTTAACTCAGGTCTTGGGTCTCCAGATCTAGTATTCTATCTACTGTGCCACCTAGATCCTTAAATTTAGAGATGAGGAGATTTTTTCCAGTTTAAATTTCTGACTTTATGATGACCCAAAATGAAATGATCTTTTTTGAAACAATCTAGTAAACCTATTTGGAGAAGAAGAAAGAAGGGAGAAAAATCACCACAGATTTGTTGTTCCAAGACTTTGACACCATTACAAGCATCTGTGGGCCTATCTCTACTTCCACTCAACTCCTCAAGGCATGGGAGGATTTCAGCCCAGAGACAGCCGCCCTGCAAATATGTGAACAAATAATGATCCTGGGGGCATTCCAGAGTCTTTGGAGATTCTGGTATTGAATCAACATCTCCTCTACATTTGCCAGAGGATTGCAACATCCTTTAACATAATACGTGTAAAGTCAAATTACACCCGCTAGCCCATACTAAGGATATTTTTTTCTTCATCTCGGGGCGGGGGGAGTTATGAACTGTTCTGGACACATTTGTATTTCATTAAGCTTGAGGCAGGTCACCCAACAAGATGTCGGACGTGAATCCGCTCTCTCCCCCCTCCCCCCGTCATTTTCCCTACGTACAGACAAGAAGCCAACAGTTTCCTGCTGCAACTTCCTCCCACATTCATGGCCCAAGAAGAACCCAGGATACAACTCAGCCGGAAAAGAAGGGAATGTGTAAGCTGAAGCTCAAGAAAACTCCATGCCAACCCAACTTAATTCCAGAAGTAAGCTTAAGGGCAGCTAGGTGGCACAGTGGGCAGAGTGCTGGGCCTGGAGTCAGAAAGACTTATCTTCTTGAGTTCTAATCCAGCCTTACAGAGCTACTATTTTGGTGACCCTGAGCAAGTCACTTCACCCTGTTTGCCTCAGTTTCCTCATCTGTAAAATGAGCTGGAGAACAAAATGGCAAACCACTCCAGCATCTTTTTGAAGAAAACCCCAAATGGGTCATGTGCCAGGTACTACCCTAGGCTGTGGATATAAAAGAAGAAGGAAAGGAAAGGAGAGGAAAGAGGAAGGGAGAGGAAAGGAAAGGAAAGAAGCAGAAAAGAGAGGGAAGGAGAGAAAATGAGAGGAAGGGAGAGGGAGGGAGAGGAAGAAAGGGAGAGAGACAGACAGACAGACAGACCCTAGCTTCAAGGTTATACTCTTGGAGAGACAGAACTCGCAAACTAATATGTAAATACAAAGGAGAAAGAATGATGAATAAGGAGAAAACTAAAGGAAAATATATAGTTTTCTCATCCAATCATTTGAGTTGGTCTGGGCTAAAGTATAAATCTGTATCTTATGAAAAGGTTAAGCACATTCCACATTTGATAAATGCTCAAAGGATACAAATAGGTGGTTTTCAGAGGAAGACATCCAAGCTATCAATGGCCATATGAAAAATACTCTAAATCACTAATAATTAAAGAAATGAAAATTGAAACACCTCTGAGGTACAACCTCAAATCCATCAGATTGGCAAAGTTGACCCCAAAAAAAGGAAGATGAGAAATGCTGAAGGGGTGGTAGAAAAACAGGTGTATTAATGCACTGTTGGTGACCTGGTCCAGCCATTCTGAAAAGGAATTCGGAATTGTGTCCCAAAAGCTATTAAACCAGGCATATCCTTTGACTCAGTAATATTGCTACTAGGTCTGTACCCTAAAGACATCAAAGAAAGAGAAAAAGGACCCATATGTACCAAAAATGTTAGCACAGCTCTTTTTGTGGTGGCAAAGAATTGAAAGATGAGGAAGTACCCCATCAACTGGGGAAGGGCTAAACGAGTTGTGATATATTCATTAAGCTGCAAGGAATGATGAAGGAAAGTGTTTCAGAGAAACCTGGGAAGATTTGTACAAACTGGTATGAAGAGAAATGGACAAAACCTGAAGAACAATTTAGACAACAACAACAAAATTAAAAAGACAGACAACTTTGAAAGCTAGAGGAGCTCTGATCAGCACAATGACAATTCCTGAGGACTCGCGATGAAACATGCTGCCCACCTCCCGACAGAGAGGTGATGGACCTACAGTGAAGACACACACACACACACACACACACACACACACACACACACACACGCACACACGCACACGCACACACGCGCACACACACACACACACACAAATTTGGGACATGGACAACATGGGCTTTTTTTTTTTTCATTTGACCATACATGTTTGTCTCAGGCTTTGTCTTTCTTGCTTTCTCAATGGGCTGGAAGAAGGGAGAGGGGAGGAGGGGGGAAGGAAAAATATCAGACCTGGAAATAAAATGAAAAATGTTTAAAGCTAGGCAAATCAGCGGTATAAGATTACAAGAAGATTGTTTAACTTACTTGAGAACAACCTCTTAATACACTTTAATCAGTCAATTAACAAGCGTTTATCAGGTGCCTGCTATGTGCCAGGCACTGTGCTATTCCACGGGGGCACACAGATAAAAAATAAAACTGTTCCTGACCTCAAGAGGTTTATATTCTATCCAGAGAAAGGACATGCAAATCTATAAATATAGCGACCCCTCTGGCCTTCCTCCCCTAGGGGGCAGGTTCAGTTGTATTCCTATCAGGTGCATATTAGCTTAGGACAGGTGGCTTCCAATGCGGTGTGGTGGAAGGGTCCTCCCACTTCCCCCTCCCCATGATCTACAGGGCATGATCACTTTGGGGCTGCCCTATTTGAGGATGAAAGGTCTTCTAATGACTCTTGAGCCAGAACTCTGTGAATAGACTAAAGGGACAATCACTATTCCTTTCAAGATCGTTTGAGTACTATGTCAGAGAGTCTGGTGGGGGAGGGCAGCCCTGCTGTTCAGTCCTCCGACCAGCCCCGAGACACAGGCCAAGGCAAGTTGGTACCTAGGAGTAGACTCCCCCCGTCTTATATCTTCTTTTCTTTACACACGGCATCTTCCTGATTCTAGGCACCAGAGCAGGTACAGTAGAAGAAGCAGACAGGACAAAAGGGAGTCGTCTGAAGAGAGACCACCAGAAAGAAAGAGCCCATGTGCCAGAGCAAGTGAAATGTAAAATGGTGAATTAACAGCCCTTGTAGACACTGCTTATAAATAAATATCCCAACAATATTATGGCTAATTAACAGCCCTTGTAGACACTGCTTATAAATATCCCAACAATATTATGGCGAATTAACAGCCCTTGTAGACACTGCTTATAAATATCCCAACAATATTATGGCTAATTAACAGCCCTTGTAGACACTGCTTATAAATATCCCAACAATATTATGGCGAATTAACAGCCCTTGTAGACACTGCTTATAAATATCCCAACAATATTATGGCTAATTAACAGCCCTTGTAGACACTGCTAATAAATATCCAACAATATTATGGAGAATTAACAGCCCTTGTAGACACTGCTTATAAATATCCCAACAATATTATGGCTAATCAGTCTTCAAAACAACTGCACTAATACTGATAAATTAAGGATTCTTCTCCTCCCAACACAGAATTAGCCAGATTTTCCACAGAATGGATGGAGGAGAATCTAATTAGAAAGCAAGAAAGAAAAGATCCACGGTTTCCTTGGATCACCACTACAGTGAGAATCGTTCTGAACCACAGTCAACAGCTTCACGAGCTGCTGTAACCAAAAATATGCATCCTTGGCCAACAGCAAGTAGCCAGCCTTCTCAGGATGAGGACGCTTTTTGTTGTGTTTTAATTATTTGGCTTTATTATGACATTCAATGTCTTGTTCCAATGGATGGAGATATTGCCTTGTGATAAGAGCAACCATGCTTTTCTTCCTGTCGTGAAGAGCAATTTACCTTTCCAAAAAAAAAAATCTAAGTTCAATAGCAGGGTTAGAGATTGGGAAAGATTGGAGCTTTTTCAGCAACATAAGATTCCTGCTATCCTGCCATCCCCATTCCCATCCTCGTGCCACTATGCCCACCTTGGGCTAGTCAAGGGCAGAGTTTCATCAACATGAAGCTTTGTGCCTAGCTGATTCAATGACAAGTTTAATTGAATAATATATAAACCACAACAACACAGAGAGGAATTTAAAAAAAAAAAAGGTCTATCTTTGTTCACATCCCTGCCATCCAATGGGTTCCATCTTTGGCTCAGGGAAACAAAGCTATTCACTAACATCTCCCACAAGGACAGCTATAGACACTAAAGAGCCTAAGTATAAGGGCCAAGGAGTTTTATAGCGAGGTAGACAAAGTCAGTCACCCATCTCAAAGAAGTCAAATAAGGCTAAAGTCAGGTCTGCTAAGATTCAATCCATCGATAAGCATTTGTTAAGCACTTATATTGATCCATGGCAGGAAAAGACTTGAAGACTATCTAATCCAACCTTTGCACTTTACACATGAGGAAAGTGAGGCCCAGAGAGGGCCTTCATTTAAGGGAGGGTCAAGCATCTCTTCATTTCACACCCAACTGCACACCTCTGGGCTTCTCCATCATCTCCCCCACCCTACCTCCATTCCCCACATGGTACCACCTACTCACCCATGTATACCTTTCCAGCTTCCTTAACGTGTTGTCCTCCCCAAGAGACTGCAAGGTCCTTGAGGGCCAGAAGCAGCTTTTGCCTTTCTTTGTATCCCCAGCACTTAGCGCGGTGCCTGATACACAGTGGGTGCTTAATAAAAGCTCCCTGACAGACTCCCTCACTCTAGATCCATGGTTCTTTCAACTGTGCCACCAGGGCTGATAACTATCTGCAAGTTCCCTTCTCCTCTGGGCAGAAGGCGCC